CCAGGCACCGGTGGCAGCGCTGAAGCCCCGGCTGAGGCGGGACCGGGGGGGTAGGACCGGGGCTGGCTCTCCTGCGAAATGCGGCTCTTCAGATCACGCCGAGCTCGCTCCGGGTGTGCTTCCACCTCTTCTGCTAGAACCGCGGGTCCGTACTGCAGGAATACCGGTGCCTGCTGCATTTACTGCTGCGCTCCAAGCAAAGCAGGGCTGACGAGTACAGCAGAGAAGGACGAGGGACAAGTGGAAGGTGCAGCAACGAAACTAGGGATACAGGAGTTAAGGCAACTTCATGGAGAAAGCATGGCCCTAAGGAGGGAACGGTCTGGGCCCTGGGCGTTCAGCAGCAGCACTGCTGTTTGCTGTGCACACAGGGGACATGAACGCGAGTCCTGTGGGGCTCTCTTGTAGCCCTCGACGGGCCGCGTTTCCATCTGCTGTGGCAATCAGCGCAGTTACAGGTCTACAAGCATCTAGGAAGTTCATCTATAGCTCTGCCTCTCTGGGGGTACGCTGGGGCATACGTAAGTCTCCCCATGGAGGTGCTCAAGCTCAGCCATCCTACATTTTATTCTGCATCACACTTTATCAGCCAAGTGGAAACTCTTCCTGCAACACTCCCTTTCATTTTGCATCAGCCAGTACTTAAGTCATCTGACTTCCAGCTTGGCCTGTCTGCACGGGGCTTCAGAGCGGGGAAGCGGAGGAACACGTGGCACCCACTTGCCTCCCATGGAACCTTGTATGCAGTGGCAGAACCACTAGAAAGCCTAAAGGGTCGGGATACTCTGAGAAGGATCAACGCTCCAGGTCCTTCACGTCAGATTTCAGCCAGGCAGCTTTCCTCCTTCCATTCTCTTTAACCTTCCAAAAACCGGTAGCACAGGGCCCTAGAATAACTTACCCTGTTGCTCAGGAACTATGGGTGACAATGAGAAACAGGCTGATATGCAGCCCAGGCCCAGACAAACCAGCCTCAAAGGCAGGTTTGCAGCACACCTGGAGCACACGCACTGCGGGCAGCAAGGATGCAACGGCCACTGCCAGAGCCAAGAAATATACCTGCTCCAAACAGCTGGGATTAGCCACAGCTCCATCAGAGAAGCAGTTTATTACATGGAGTCAGTCATGCCTATAGGGTCATATCCTTGCTAGCAGCCGGAAGCCTAACAACTAAAAATGCTTTAATATTACTAGCACCTTTGGCAGGCTCTGCATCAGTCCCAAAATCCATTCCATCCCCTCCAGCCCGTTGCTCCCACTGCAGCTCCATAGAAGTGCCAGGAGCAGCTCGCATGCTTTGTGCAGTTTTCTGGCTTGGGACAGGATTTGGGCTCTGGGAGAAAAGGAGAGAGGCAAGAAAGCCATGCAGAGACAGGCTATAAAGAAATCAGAGAAAGCAGTAGACTGCTGCTGTTCTGGGGCTGGCTCCCAAGACTGTGCCTGAAGGAAAGGTTAACCGTCCTTCTAGATGTGACGAGCTGTACACTACCTTCTGTCTGATCAGAGCATTGATCCCTTCTGCCCTTCGAGTCTACAACCCACATTCCTCCCTCTCCCCAGGGAGGAGGGAAGAGGAGCTGCGTTGCCGCCGACACAGCACAGTCCCAGCTCACGCCTGGGCTGCGCCAATCGGCAGGAGGGGTCGAGCGGGGCCACCCTCTGCTTGTGGCTACCACCACCTTTGCCAGATTCCTGCCCCCACAAATACTGAAGTTTCAGGGGCAGAAGGCACCACTGCTTCTAGACCCCACACTTTGCTGCTGTTTCTTGCTCATAAATTTGAGTCAGACTTGGGAAATTCTCTAGACAAGAACAGCAAGGGTCTTCCTCCTCTGCAAAGGCAGAGTTATCTGGATGTGTTTCACCAAGCAAGTTCTTGTTGTTGGACAGGCATCAGGCATTCTCAAGTCCTCCCTGAAACTCTTTTGTGTCAAGCAGAGATTGACTTTCCTCCTGGGTCTCATGCAGGACAAGCTAGGTGAGACAGGAGGAGATTGGAGCCACAAGCCAGACCAGATGAGTCAGTGTTTCCCTTTAGTCTTGTATTCTGAAGAACCAGGAATGCAACTGCGTGAAGCAGCCTCAAACTTCTTGCTAATTTTTTCCCCCTTCTAGCCTTTAACAGTGCAACGCCTTCAAAGAAATACGAGGAAAAAAGAAACGGTCTAGAAACCACCAGAGTCATAACTGTGACAACATAAGGTGACACCGAGGGCTGCTGTGCTGGATTTCACCAGCCCAGGGGCTCTGCTGGGAAAAACGCTGCCTGGAAGGGACAACCAGTCCACCACAACACAGCTGGATTGCACAAGCTGAAGCAGAGCAGCCACTGGCAACGGGCATCGAGACTGCAGTCCAAGGAGGTACAGCCTGGTGCAAGGAAAGGTACCGAGGAAGAGTCCTGCTGCCATGCGGTAGCCCAGCACCTGGGTACAAAACTCTGCTTGAGGGTACAGAAGGCGGCTTTCTCTGGAGAAGGCTGTCCTTGAGTTCAGCTCTCCTCCTGGCTGCCCCTGCCCGAAGAGCAAGGAGAGCATCAGGAAGCACAGTGATGCTGAAACATTTCCACGGACCTGTGGGAGCAGATTCTTCCCATGGAGAGTACAAAGAGGTGCCAGAGACAGAGGGGAAAGGGAGCACTCACCACCCCTCCGCCTGCCCAGCCACCCAAGCCAGACCAGCAGCAAAGGAGGGGCAGTGAGAGCAGTTCACGGTTCCCCAAACCAGACAGGGCAGAGAGAAGGGGTGGTCAGCAGAGACAGAAACGGACTGTGGTCCAGAGGTTCACACCATCTGTCTCTCACAGTCAAGGCAGATGGGAGATGGGGCAGAGGCGCCTTGGTCCCTTCTGAGCAGTGCTTTAGGCCCCAGCCTCTACTGTGGTGAGCAGCACTGCATTTGTGTGGCAGCATCTGCTCTAGCTTATAAAGACAGCAACAAGACACAAGCTCTGACAGCAGATGCAAGATGGGGCAATAGGGATCCAGGCCTGGTCCAAACCTTTGAGACCAAAAGGCATTCTGAAACCTTTGTAAAAAATCCTATTAGAAACTATTTCTGCATGGGACACCACAAACACTGCCCGAGTCCTAGAAGTATCTGAGGCTTCTGGACAAACAATGCCCTTGATGAAGCTCCGATGACGGTATCACCCCAGCCCAACAGAGAACAGCAATGCCAGAGACAGTTTGCACCAACCCTACTATGGGTTAAAGACCCTCTTCTACAGCGTTGCACTGCCCCACAGCTGCTGCAAGCCAAGAGCCAGGTATGGGGGACACCAAAGTGAATGTTTTTCCTTAGACAAAAAAGAAAGGGCATGGAAGGGTAATGTCCAGATGACAGGAGCCTGGTCAGTTCTTCTTGCTGCTGGTGGTCTTATTGGTGAACAGACTGACTTTGCTGGCAGATGCCATGGACAGAGAAGGAGACTCCAGCTTCACCTTATCCAACAAAGTCTTCTTTATGGCTGCTGGGGAGATCTTCTCTTGGTCTGCCAGATGCTGCAGCTCCCTGCAATGATAGTGGGAGAGAAAGACATAGGAAAAGGAGGAGACAGCGAGCATGGGGGGCAAGTTTTGCAGGCTCTTTAGGACTTCCTAGGTGCCCACCTTGTACGGATACAGGAAGCCTCCACAGCATTGATGAGGAGTGAGCGAAAGCCACCGCTCTCCAGGAAGTGCAGGGCATGGATGGTGGCTCCCCCAGGCGAGCAGACGTTGTCCTTCAGCTGACCGGGATGCTGCTCAGATTCTAACAGCATTTTGGCAGCACCCTGTAGTGAGGAAGAGAACACAGCTGCCAGAGCTCTGACTGAGGAACCAGCTGTCAAATACTCCTGTTCTCCACTGCACAGAGCAGCACCTAACACTCACAGTGGGCAAAACTGGGCTGCTGCCCGAGAGCCATTAGCAGGCTGCTGAAACACTTTTCAGAGCTGAAAAAGCGTGCAGAGGGGTCACAGTTCCCCAGGACCTAGCTCCCACACCACCATCAGCGCCAGCAGATTGCTGCGGACACTTCCTACGTCCCCTCAACGGGAACCTGTGTGCAGTCAAACCAAACATGTTTTTTAAAGTAGATTCAGTAAGAGGACTGAGATGATTTCAAACTGTGATGTGCAGAATACTCTGTATAGAGCAGGCACAGACTCAAATGTGTTAATACTGACCAGCAAAGCCTGTGCTCCAAGTCGAACAGCCAGCCTGCGGGGAAGTCCCATTTTCACTCCCCCATCCGCCAGAGCATCCAGGGCAGTGAACGCCTGAGACCAGACAGAGGAAGAAGGTGACTGAAAGTCTCTACTCCAACACTGGTGTTATCAGGGAGGAGAGAATCCAGGGCTCCAGGATCACGCTGTGACTCCTATTGCTTACAGCCTTGACAAAAAAGCCTCCCCGTTTACTGCCTGGGTGCCCTGCCATGCTTCCCTCCCACCGGTTCCAGCACAGGAGTGGGGGGAACAGGAGAAATTCAGCATCTGGGTCACACTAACTACAGGACCATGTTTTGCAACATGGACATGTGGACACTGCATGCTGGCTACGGACTTCAGACTCATCCGATTGCTAATGGACTTTTGTTGTTGACCCAAACTGGTTATAAACTGGATACATGGATTACATGTCCCATCACGAATGTGAGTGATGAGAAAAACAAGAAATGACAAACTGAAGTTGCAAAGACTTTCACCGTGTGCAAAGCCTACTGTTCTCCCCAAAACCATCACAAGTTGAGGAAGCAGCACATACATACGCAGGGCCACTGCCACTGAGCCCCGTTACGGCATCTATCAGGTCCTCTTCCACCTCGGTGCAGAAGCCTACGCTGGCCATCAGTTGTTCCAAGAGCTTCCCATCCTCCACATCCGCATGAGTCCCAGTGGCATAGACTGTAGCACCTTCCCGGACAATCACAGGGGTGTTGGTCATGCACCTGATCACTTTTGGTGTGGGGCAGAAGGTAGAGAGTTTCTTAGGGCAGAAAATTGTTGGGGGGGGAGAGAGAGAAACAAATGAGCTTTAGTGCACATATGGCATACAAAACAGGCTGTCTAGGAAGGGGCTCCCCAGGGGCAAGAACACCACAAGCAGAAGGAGAGACACCTGTATTCCAAAACTCCTTGCTCAGAGCCAAAGCAACCAAAACTTAAATGTGAAGTCTTTAGTAGTACCAGCAAATAGGAAGCTGGGCCGAGCTGTTGCTGAGAACAATACCCTGAACGCCTCATTCCCACATCAACTCACGAGTCTCCAAAACAGCTCGTGCAAACACTTAGCACAAAGTCTGCAGAAATTCAGGGGAGATGACCCACCTCTGTTGAGAGAAAATAAATCTGATAGTCCCTCACATAGCTGGCACAAAGACTCTTACAGCTTTTCCTGATGAGGACAGGCAACACCAGCCATCAGCTGGCTGCAGCATGAATTCCGTGCCGGGGAGCAGAAGTAATGCCTGTCCCTCGCATCAGCTCCTGGGGTCCGGAGGACGGGACGGGCTCTGGGACGGCTCCCGCATGCTGCCGCCCTGCAGCCGCCGCCTC